TGGTATTTTATTTCTGCAAAACTGACTGTTTCCTTCTTTGCAAAAAGTCTGACAGCCTAAAGAATTCTCTCTAACCAACAGAGTAGCTTAGAAAAAAAACAAAATTACTAACTAGTAACTTTTAGCACTGGCTCACACTGATGCAGTGTGGAATTTGCACCGGTTTATGTGCAATTTCCAGACAGCATCATAATCGCACCCTGTTCGTGCGAACCGCTGTGGGCGTGCATGTTAAGTTAAACACTTGCCCTCCAGAAGATTTACCCCTCTTACTGACCAGGCCATTTTTTGCGTTCCAGCGCTGCACTATTTCAACTGGTCATACCCAAATTAAATTTATGTCCTTTTTTCACACAAATAGAGCTTTCGTTCGGTGGTATTTGATCACCTGTGCGTTTTTTTTTTTTTTTGTGCTATAAACAAAAAATACAGAAAATTTTGAAAAAAAAACAATATTTTTTACTTTCAGTTATAAAAAGTATATGGCAAACTCAGTTAGTCATAAATTTAGGCCAAAATTTATTCTGCGACATGTCTTTGGTAAAATAAAATCCCAATATTGATTGCTTTGTGTGATAGTTATAGCGTCTACAAACTATATTATAGATATTGCAATTTACGCCATTTTTTGCTATACAGTGCTGATGCTAGTTTAACTGACAACTGCGCAGTCATGCAATGCTGTACATGAATGAAATTTATGTCCTTTTTTCACACAAATACAGCTTTCTTTTGGTGGTTTTCGATCACCGCTGGGTTTTTCGTTTTTTGCACTATAAACAAAAAAATACCACAAATGTTGAAAAAAAATTATATTTTCTCATTTCTGTTATAAAAAATATCCAATAAACTGAAATTTCATAAATTTAGGCCAAAGTGTATTTTGCTATATGTATTTGGTAAAAAAAATCCCAATAGGTGTATATTAATTGGTTTGTGTGAAGGTTATAGCATCTACAAATGGTGGTATACATATTGGAATTTATGCCATTTTTTTTGCTGCATTAGTTTAACTGACAATTGCACGGTCATGCAATACTGTATATAAATTAAATTTATGTTATTTTTTTTCACCTAAATAGAGCTTTCTTTTGGTGGTATTTGATCACCTCTGCAGTTTTTTATTTTTTGCACTATAAACAAAAAAGACTGGAAATTTTGAAAAGATATTTTCTGATTTCTGTCATAAAAAATATCCAATAAACTCAAATTTCGTCATAAATTTAAGGCAAAATGTATTTTGCTACATGTCTTTGGTAAAAAAAAATCCCAATATCTGCATATTAATTGCTTTGTGTGAAAGTTATAGCATCTACAAACTATGGTATAGATAATGGAATTTACACAGCTTTTACTTCTGACTGCCTATCACATTGCTTGAGGTGCTAAAATACCAGGATAGTACAAACACCCCAAATGGCCCCTTTTTGGAAAGTAGACACCCTAAGCTATCTGCTGAGAGGCATGTTGAATCCATGGAAGATTTTTTTTGTTTTCCACAAATTTTTGGAAAATGACAAAGAAATATTTTTTTGTTTTTTCACACAAAGTTGTCATTTAAATAGCATAATTCTCACATGCCATGGCTATATATAATTACACCCCAAAATATATTCTGCTACTTCTCCTAAGTATGGGGATACCGCATGTGTGAGACTAGCCACATACATGACCCTGAAATCCAATGACCCCTTTGAAAGCCTGATAGTGTGTAAATTCCTCATTTCACTTCCTCACTGCCTATCACAGTTTCAGAGGCTCTGAAATTCCAGGATAACATAATCCCCCCCCCCCCCCCACAAATGACCCCTTTTTGGAAAGTAGACACTCCAGACTATTTTTTGAGAGGCATGTTGAGTCAATGGAATACTTTATTTTTTAAGTTTTTGGAAAATGACAAAAACATTTTTTTCACACAAAGTTGTCACTTAAATGATATATTGCTCACACAAGCCATGGGTATATGTGGAATTACACCCAAAATACATTCTGCTACTTCTACTGAGTATGGGGATACCACATGTGAGAGACTTTTTGGGAGCCTAGCCACATACAGGAGCCTGAAATCCAATGACCACTTTGAAAGTCGGAATGTGCGTAAATTCCTCATTACACTTCCTCACTACCTATCACAGTTTTGGAGGCCCTGAAATGCCAGGATAGCACCAACCCCCCCCCCCCCCCCCCAAATGACCCCTTTTTGGAAAGTAAACACCCCAAAGGATTTAAAAAGAGGTATGGTGAGTATTTTTTCAGATCTCATGTTTTTCCCCAATATTCCGAAAATGAAAAAAAGAGAAAATATGTTTTCTTTTTCTTTCTTCATTTTCCAAAAACCTGTACCAACAAACAAGATCTGCAAAATATTTAACATGCTTCTTATCAAATTGCTTGGGGTGTCTACTTTCCAAAAAGGGGTAATTTGTGTATGTATGTTTTGTGTGCGTGTGTGTGGTGTGTGTGTGTGTGTGTGTGTGTGTGTGTGTGTGTAGGGGGGGGGGGTTGTACTGTTCTGGCATTCTGGGCCTCCGAAACTGTGATAGGTAGTCAGGAAGTGTAATGAGGAAATAAAGCCCTTTAAAAGCCTGAACCTGCTTATTGGATTTTAGGGTTCTGCATGTGCCTAGACTGCCAAAAGTCTCTCACATGTGGTACCCCATACTCGGGAGAAGTAGCAAAATGTATTTTGGGGAGTAATTCCACATATACCCATGGCTTGTGTGAGCAATACATTTAAGTGACAACTTTGTGTAAACAAAAAAATGTTTTTTTTTGTCATTTTACATGGGTTAGATTCCCTATGAAATTGTTATTGCGATCTGTGTTCCCCTGGGGAGATTCACCTTCTATGTCCTGGTAACATACTATACTTGGAGAAGAGCCTGAGTGGGAATACTAAATCCTGAAAAGTGGTTTTGGAGTGCTGTGGTGCCTGGAGGATCTGTGAGAGGGATCCATTACTGCTCTTTGACCCGCAAGGGTCGAAGTGATGAGGTGAGAGGCTAATCCAGAAGGTGGTTGGATTCATAAGCTCTATCTACACCCAGATATCTGCAAGATTTGTTTCACTTGTGGTCACCTTACAGTATTATTGGAAACACCGTTTACAGTTTTGTTCACCTTCAACATTTCATTATTGGACTTTGAGTTTGCGTTTATTATTTAGTCATCATTTCACTTCACATTGTGCACGTGTGATGTAATATATGTATGTGTATTTCTCATGCACATACGTATAGATTTAAGTTTGTGCTTTTTCATTAGTTTGGGTGGTTTATATTTGGTAATTTTGTTATCATTAAGCACATATTATTTATTTTCATTATTATTGTCACTATTTTTGATTTGAGTTATTGGATTCCACATTCACTTAAATAAGTTTGAATGTAGCGCAGCATTTATATGGTTTATATTTACTTGATCACTGGTATATGATTTAATGCTAGCAGCTGTTTGGGGTTCATATATTAATTTAGTTTGTTTTTTAAACACACATTTGGAGCGCAGGAGGGTCACACCACTATTAATACATTTAAGTGACAACTTTGTGTAAACAAAAAAATGTTTTTTTTTGTCATTTTACAAAAACATGTGGTAAAAAAATAAGTTCTTCTATTGACTCAACATGTCTCTCAATAGTTTGGAGTGTCTACTTTCCAAAAAGGATCATTTGTGGGGGGGGGGGGGGGGGGCATTTTATGCCCAGCATTAGAAGTTTATGCCACACATCACTCACTCTTCTAACCACCTGAAAACCAAGCCTTTTCTGACACTTTTTGTTTCACAGAAAAAAAATCTGTATTTTTTGCTAGGAAATTACTTTGAACCCCCAAACATTATATATTTTATTACAGAAGACACCCTAGTGGATAAACTGGTGGGTGCTGAATTTTTTTATGTTACATTTTTCAAACGCAATTTTTAAAAAAAATAGTTTTTTACTTTTAATGCACAAAAAAACAATATATTGGCCAATTGTTTAGTAAAATATAAAAGATGATGGTATGTCGAGTAAATAGATACTAAACATGACAAGCTTTAAAACAATGGCAACAAACTGCATGCATTTTTAATATCCATAGGCGACTCCTTAAAAGCTACAATTTTAGATTTACACAGGTGGTCTAGTGCTAGAATTACTGCCTTTGATATGATGTTCGCTGCGATACCTCACATGTATGGTGAAACCGCTGTTTACATACCAACACGAGGTCAACGCTTGCGCATGCAGTTGCACATGCGCGCGGGTGGGGCAAGATTGCTTTTTTTTTTTTTTAGTTATTTAAATTTTTTAAATCATTTTTACACTGCTTCTTTCATTTTTTTTTTCCTTTTATTGTAATCACAGAGGATGTAAATATCCCCTGTGACTGTAATAGGCATTAACAGGTATTCTTTTCTGAGAAATCTGGTGTCTATTAGAAGCTAGATATCTCCTCTGCCCTTACATTATCTGATCTTACCAAGATCAGTGTGATCAGATGCTTTCCCAATTTACAAATGGTGCTGTTTATATCCTGCGAAACTGAAGTGATGAAATGCTCGTAGCTTCTGATTTCTTAGACTATAGAGATAATTGGCACCATTCTGATCTCCAATCGGTCAACTGGCAGAAACACTGGCTGAAAAAGCCATTGAAGGCAGCGGGTTTGCTTTTACATGAAAGTCGATCACTGGCTGAAAAAAAATGTTATCAGGATGATGCCTGCAGCTCAAGGCATCATCCTGGTATAACCAATCAAAGTCCCGTGATGTACCAGTACGTCGCTGGTCCTTGTTGGGTATATATGCTATGTTCTTTTTTTGATGAAGCCTGTGGTCTGAATAAAAAAAGAGAAGAAATCTCTGCCAGAAAGTGTGTGGTATGCCCAACATTAGAATATATCGCCCAGCATCCACAGTAACATTAACTCAATAAAATAACTTTTTTATTGAAATACCGTATTTTTCGCTCCATAAGACGCACCTGACCATAAGACGCACCTAGGTTTTAGAGGCGAAAAACAAGAAAAAAAATATTCTGAACCAATGGACTGCAGACACAGTACAGGGGATGACCAGAGACTGCGGACACAGTGCAGGGGATGACCAGAGACTGCAGACAGTGCAGGGAATGACCAGAGTCTGCAGACAGTGCAGGGAATGACCAGAGACTGCAGACAGTGCAAGGGAATGACTAAGACTGCAGACAGTGCAGGGAATGACCAGAGACTGCTGACCTTTGGGGAGGGAGGGGGAGCGGGTACCTGAATTTGAGAGGTACCCGCTCCCACTTCCGCGGAGTTGTCCTTCTCTCTTCTTCCTGGGCCGGCTTCTGTGACAGCCGGGTGCCCACTGCGCATGCTCAAGAAGCGCTGCGCTTTGTGAATGGCCCGGCGCCTTCTGTGCCCCAAAAGACACCGGATCATTCACAAAGCGCAGCACATGCGCAGTGGGCACCCGGCTGTCACAGAAGCCAGCGCGGGAAGACTGTGCAGCGCTGGACCGAGGAACAGGTAAGGCCCTGCAGGAGAGAACAGCTGAGCGGCTGGCCCGATATTCTGACATGGTGGCGGCAGAAATACCGGACCGGCCGCTTTATATTCGCTCCATAAGACGCACTGACATTTTCCCCCCTTTTTTGGGGGGAAAAAAGTGCGTCTTATGGAGCGAAAAATACGGTATGTGCCAAAAAATATTATAAAATATATATACCGAAGCATAGGGGCCATCCACCCACTGGCCACCCTTGACCTCCATGCTTGGGCATATATGCTCTTTTTTAACTGTGGATGAAAAATCTCATCCAACAGCACTGCACTGCAAGAAAACAGAAATGGTTAACAATAAAACAGTAACAGTAAAACAGTAACTCAACAACAATAAAACTATTTTTGTTTTTTAATTTTAATTAGTTTTTTTTACTTTTTATGTTTTTTTTACTTTTTTTTTTTTTTTTTAACGTTTTTTAACTTCCAGATGTTAGGGTCTCTCAAAATGCGATAGCCAGTTTCCTGACTACCTAATATCTTTCAAGACCCTGTGTAAATGTGTACCCTAGACTGTGCCTTGTTGTACCCTATACTAATAGTCCACTAGTGTATGGTAGCGACAGAAGCAGTCCTTGAGGCAGAGGCTAGGTTGGCCAGGGCAGGAGGAAAAAAAAGCAGGTGTCATGCCTAATTCCATGTCTGCTACAGACATGACACATCTTTTTTTGGGTGTCTTTTAGGTTGAGGTACCAGGAATCGCAACTGGAAAATGCCTCTCAGGCAGCCAGCTAACTACATCTCGGTTGGAGGTTTGGGCCACAGCACCTTTTAGATACAAAAGGGATGTGATGACCTCTTCCTGGAATTTTAGGAAGGATCCACTTTGTCCAGTTGCTTTGTAAGCACAAAAGCATTATATAGAGCTAATTGAAATAAATAGACACTTTTTTGTACCAGTGTCTGGCTTTTCGGGAAACTAAGTACGGCTTCATCATCTGGTCATTGAAGTCCAGCCCTCCCATGTTAAGGTTATAGTCGCGGACACAGAGGGGCTTCTCAACAACACCAGCTGCCATGCTGATTTGGATGATCATGTCTGCATGAATGGAAGACAGGACAAAAACATTCTGTTTGTCCTTCCACTTCACTGCGAGCAATTCACAATTTTTCAAGCAGGCCTTTTCCCCCTTTCTAAGTCGGGTATTTACAAGCCATTGGGGGAGGCCCTGATGATTAGGTCGTATGGTGACACATGTGCCAGTTCCAAGATTGTATAAATGTCTAAATAGTGGCACTGTCAGGAATGGACTTGCCAATAATGGTGGGACTCACCTGCCTTGTGGGCTGCTCAGTACCAGGGCTGGCCAGCGGGTGCTCTCAGCAATCAGAGACTCAACCCTGCAGCCAGCCAAATACCTGAAGCTGATTATGCAGGTGTATTTAAGGGATGGCTAGACCTGCAGTCTGGGCCTTGGTGTGTGTTTTTCCTGGGCCCCTGTATCTTGTTATTGCTGGTGCTTCCCGAACCCTGTAGAGTTGTGATCGCCCACGGAACCTTCCCCTTGCGGGGTTGGGAGAAGTGGGTTGTCCTGTGTCGGTAGGAGTATGGCAGTGGTACCACCAGATGCCCCTAACACCATTCGGGTGTTAGTTCCAGAGAGTCGCCGTGCTGACTGCGGGCTCTATTATATCCAGAAAAAGATCATCATGGATTTACTCGGAATGACCATTGAAAGCATTTTTTGTCTGCAAGCTTTCCCATCTAGCGGGATGTTTGATGTGACCTTTTATCGGCTGGCGGACCTGCAGACGTGTATGCTAAGATGGAATGAAAAGGCTGATGACCCGCAATTGGAGGGAATTTCTTTTCTGAGGAACGAGTCCAAACACCGGACGCCATTGACTGTCCAAATGTACAATCCATTTGTACGAGAAGACGAGGTGCGGACCTTTCTGCATAAATATTGTTCATTTGTGTCGGTTGGAGTGAACCAAACAAACATTTTGGGAACCTTTAACGGTCACCGCCGTTACTATGTTCAACTTAAGAAGGATGATGGAGGCATTGGCGGCTGCATGCACCCCCCTCAGGCCTTCTCCATAGGGGCTAATAGGGGCGTGCTCTGGTACCCGGGGCAGCCGCAATTCTGCAGGGGCTGCTTCTCCTTCGGGCACACCCGGGACCAGTGTGATGTTGGAATTGTCTGTAGGAATTGCTATCGTCCCGGACATAAAACGGCTGAGTGCCAGGAGGGCAGAAAATGCCATTTGTGCGGAAGCGAGGAGCATTTGGCCCGGCAGTGTCCCCGGCTGAATGTGCCCTCTGAGGACTCTGGTCACAATATCAGTGGGGCGGTTGGTGGGAGGGCCCCCTCATATGCTGAGGTGGCAAGGAAAGTGACCCGTGCAGAAACGGTGGAGGTTCCTGCAGAGAGGGAGGAGACAGGTCAGGCAGAGGTGCCCAAACCTGATGATACTGCAGTGGAAGCTCAGGTCCTGGCAGTTGGGACCTTTGAGCCCCCATTGTTTACTGCAGTGGAGGGTGGTGGGGCGATGAGTACAGCTGATAGGGTCCTGGCAGATGGGATCGTTGAAACCTCGCTGGCTACTGTGGTGGAGGGTGGTGGGGCAATAAGTCTAGCTGATTGGGTCCTGGCAGTTGGGACCGTTGAGCCCCCGCTAGCTACTGCGGTGGAGGGTGGTGGGGCAATAAGTACAGTTGAAGAGATGGACTTGTCCCGCGATACCCTGAAGAGGAAGCAAGAGAGTCAAGAGTCCTTACCTGCTTCACAGAATATACTGGAGTTTCCAAGTCTGGAGTTAGACTCTGATTCCTCTATCCAATCGACGAAGTCCTTTGCCAGTTGCGGCCATGTTGAAAATTTACAGGCAATTTTGGGCTTCAAACTCCATCCTTCTGATGGAGGGGAGGGGGTGAGTGGGATGGGAGGAGTCGCAGGGGTTGCTGTGACAAACAAGGGGGAGGAGGTGTAGAAGCAAGAAGCTTGCTAGTTGACAGCATAGCCCTGATTGTTGTTAATTTTCTTTCTGTCTAATGAATATCTCTGTCTCCTCTTTAAATGTCAGAAGTATAAGATCGGCACCAAGACGGGCAGCTGTATTGAAATACTTGTCTCTAGTACCTGGAGATATTTTATGCCTACAGGAGTGCAACTTAAAAGAGGAGCTGCACCGAGATTCATGGACGCACGGCCCCGCGGTGTGGTCAGAGGGATCTGATGGCAATGCTCGGATTGGAATCCTGTTCAAGGGCTGGCGCTTCAAAATATTTGAAAGTTGTGCATATTGCAAGGGGGAGGGCGGTGTTAGTGTGGGTGGAGGTGGATGGTTTGGTGTTTCCGGGTGTTAAATGTCTATGCCTCCACAAAACGACAGGAACGCATTGAATTGTTTGAGAACCTGAGACTTTTTTTGCGGTGGTCGTGAACCCTTAATAGTCTTGGGTGATTTCAATTGTATAGTTGGGGCTGGGGATATGAGGGGGAGGGGGGGTGGGGGGGGGGGAGGGGAGTGGATAAGTCAGGTAAAATTTTATTAGAAATTTGTTCAGATTTTGGATTGGTTGATGTTGGGAAAAACAAGGGGCATACCTTTTTTGCTGAAGGCCGAAACACAAGCTCACGTATAGACTTTCTTTTTTTCTTTCTTCAGTCCTGAATCCTTTTGTGGTGCAGCCAGTAGCATTCACGGACCATGGCCGAATCGAATGCAAAGTGAGTATGGAGTCAGATAAGGTGTATGGTAGGGGAGTGTGGAAACTGAATGTGGATTTGTTAGATGATGTGAATGTGAGAAGAGAGTATGGGAGTTTGTTTGAGAGATGGGAGAGAAAACGATTGAAGTTTGAAAGTATAGTTGAATGGTGGGAATGGGTAAAAATGATGACTAAGAGTTTTTTTGCAAGGAAAGGGTGTGAGAAAGTGGGAAGAGAGCGTGAAGAGTATGAATGGTGGCAGAAGCGGGTTGACATATTTGTTGGAAATAAGCGAATGGGGTGAGAATGTGAGAAGCGAGATTGCAGAGGCACGAGTGAAGGTTGGGAGATTTATGAATGCGAAGGGTAAGGCAACAATTGCGCAGGCGAGAGAATGGTTGTGAGAGAGAATGACGAACAGTGTACAAGGTTTTTCTTTAAGAAAGTGTATAGATGGAAGAATGAGATTGTTAGTGTGGTGGATGCGAGTGGGAGTGAAATAAGTGGGAATAAGAGGGTATGCAGTGAAGTACGGAAGTTCTATAGTGAATTGTTTTCTGTAAGAAGGAGAGATGAGAATGTGGAGAAAGAAGTGAGTGGTGAGGTTGAGAAGAAGTTGGATGAGGAGGAAAGAATGTCTTTATGTGAGGATGTGAGTGTGAGTGAAGTTGAAAGATGTTTGAATGGGATTAAGACTGGAAAGACTCCGGGTATGGATGGTTTGCCAGGGGAGTTCTATCGTGCGTTTTGGGGGGTGATCGGAAGCATGTGCATGAGGTATGTGTGACTGTGCTGGAGAGTGGGAGATTATCCAAAAGTATGGCAGAAGGTTTGATAGTTTTATTGTACAAAAAAAGGCAACAGGAAAGACCTCAAAAACTGGCGGCCTATATCTCTATTGAATATTGATTACAAGATAATTGCGAAAGTGCTGGCTGAAAGAATGCGCGGAGTGATTGGTAAGATGGTTGGTGAGGAACAGGTGTGTGCGGTGCCAGGGCGAATGATTGCTGAAAGTTTGGGATGTTTGCGGGACGTTTTGTGGGATAGTAAGGAGAGGAAGCAAGGGGCAGCTGTGGTTACAATTGACTTTGAAAAAGCTTACGATAGTGTTGCGCATGAGTTCATGTATCGAGTGTTGGAAAGAATGGGAGTGCCTGAGAGGATGATGAAGTGGATTAGGTGTCTGTATGCGGGTATC